CCATTGGATCTCCAGCCCCAGATGCAATTCCATCTGGCTTTGTGGGTTTTTTGTTTTTGTTTTTGTTATTTTTTGTTGCTCAGTGGCTGTGGGGCACATAGACATCAAGAAGGCCACTCCCAGATGCAGCTTTTGATTAAGAATTAGAACAAATATCTCCTGTCCTGGGAAGGCTATCCCCACTAAGGCGTGCACTGCCTCATGTATGGAAATCAATGGAAATATGACCCTCGATCTGCTGAAGGGGAGACAGGACAAGCTGGTGCTCCTCGAGCCTCCTGCCTTCACTGTGTGTTCATCTGATCACAGGAAGGGACGTGTGCTTCTATCACAGGCAGATAGATGTCTTGCCTGAAGAACTGGCTGAGGTGCCAAAACACTGGAGGGGGGGGGGGGGGGGGCAGGCTTGGCCAAGCATTTGATTATTTAGTCCACATCAGGCTGAGTGTCTGGAGGCTGGGGACATCTCCAGAGCCAAATGGACCACAGGACTGCTTCCCCCAGAGACAGCTGGGTCGGGAGACAGAAGGTTGTGGACCAGGAAGGCAGTGAGGGAAGTGGTGTGCCAGAGGCACAAGATGGCAGCCTGAATTTAGAGTTGTGTCACTGAGGATGGCAAAGATCTAGAGTCAAGGTTGAAGTGGCATGTTCCCTTTGAAGATGGAGGGTGTGGCAGCTTCCTCTGGTGGGTTGCTGGTAAGTTCTAGCCATTTTTGGCTTAGAGATGTTCTCTCCCAATTTCTGAGGTTACCTGGGTGTAATGCAACTTGTGCGTGTGTGCATGTGTGCGCGTGTGTGTGTGTGTGTGTGTGTGTGTGTGTGTGTGTGTGTGTTGTGTGTGTGTATTCTCTTCAGGAGGCTCCGAAACCCGGGATGAGCTCATCTTAGTTTAGCTAGCTGCATTTGCAATGACTTTATTTTTAGTTAAGTGCATGTTTGAAGGAACTGAAGGCTTTGACAAATCTTTTTTGAGGGTGAGGCGTGGTTCAACCTCCTAGTTGGACCCTTAATTTTCTCAGGCCTAAGAAGCCGTGATGTTTCCAGCTGTAGCTCTGGTACACATGGTGAATGATGACCCATGGTTGCCATACTCAGAGGTGGGTTCACTACCCCAAAGGGCTGTGCTCTTGGGAAACCTCCCCTCGAGGCTGGGAAGCTCATGAAATATACATTGGAGAAAACATGTGCAAAGGCAGAGCAATTTCACCAGGAGCCCCAGTGTGGTTTCTGTCAGAGGCTTGGCTCTAGCTTTGAGAGGCTGGCTCTGGAGGGTCAGCACTTTGGAGGACAGATAGCTGCTGGCTCAAATCTCTGTCTGGAGGCTCTCAGAGAGAAGAGAGTCCCTACATGGCAGAAGATTGTCTGCTTGGCTCCTGGGGTTGGGAGGCTGCCAGCCATGAGCGTAATGGAGATGCTCCAGACACTGATGGAATTCTGTCCCTTGGTGACTGGTGCCCAGCAGCCATGAAATCTGTTTTTGAGGGTGGTAGAGGGGTGTGGCCCATGTTGAGGATTGGCAGAGGTCTTGGAATCTCTCTAAGAGGAGAGACTTCAGCAATGACTCCACCAAATGAAAGTTCTCCCAGCCTCTCAGCCAGTCATGGAAGAGTCCTTCCTGCTCACAGTGCACGTGAGGAAGACACGTGTCTCACTGTGGAACAGACGATGGACCATCAGGATAGAATACCAGGTTTGGGGCTATGGCTGAGTGTTTGCCTAGCATGCAGGAGGCTCCGGGGTTTGCCCTCAGAACTGCATAAACCTGGTGTGATATTTTATGTCTGTTATCCTAGCACTCGGGGGAGGTAGAGGCAGGAGGATCAGAAATTCAAGGTCATCTTCAGCTGTCTATTGGTTTCATGCCAATCTAAATTCCACAAGCCCTACTTGGGGACACCAGAAGCGGCTCCCACAGTGCTCCCGAGTGCTGCCTGGCACAGTTCTGAGAATGCAGCTCAGGACATCTTGTCACCTGATGTTTTTCCTCTTTGGCCACAGGGAACCCCTCTCCGACCTGGAAGACCAGGTGCAAAGTTGCAGAATTGAGCAGGGTGAGGGAGAGAGAAACTTCCAGTGGAGGGGCAGGTGTCCACAGGGTGGGAATGGCCAGGACATCAGACGGGGTAGGTGTGCTTAGGGAACTCAGGACGGGACTTTGGGAAATCCACTTGGCGGCCCTGGCCTGCTTTCTGCACTTGAAGCATCTCACCTAGGAGGCTCGAGTGATCACGTTCCCTCTGAAGAGCAGCTGGGTGTCTGGACACAGCAACCCCACTGGCAAGAGGAGGATGAGAGAGGTTTGCGCAGGACCTTCCTGGGGACTGAGCACAGGGGCGTGTAAACATGCTAGCCTGTTATGCAAACCATCCACCAACTGAACCGCAGCCCCAGCCATGGGCAGGTGTGCCTGGAGTTAACATCACTATTGCTCTACGAAGCCATGGTTAGGAATTCCCACAGAATCAACAAATAGACAGAAAAGCAAATAAACCAGGGTATTTATTTTTACTTTACATTAGCCAAGAATGCCAGGAGCACCAACAAATGGCAATGCCCATGGCAAACTGTTGTTCTTCAAAACATCCCTTGGGCAGAGGTATGGGGAACTGTCCTCAGGGCTGATTGCCCAGGCACAGCACACACCCTGCCGGAGGCAGACGCTGGTGGTGCTCAGTGCACGCCTTGCTTGGGCCAGCACAGTTCTCGGGCGTAAGCCCCTTTGCAGCTGCGGATGTCTGAGTACTGCTCCAAGCAGTACAGGGCTGGCATCCCAGATCGCCATCCGATGAAGCCCTGGGTGGTTTTTGGGACTGGGGGCGATGGGAGAATCTGAAGAAGAAATGAAAGGAGTTAGTCAACAGGGAAGATTCCTTCCTGCCCACGTGCCGATAGGAAGAAGACAAAAATCTCATTGCAGGGCAAATGACCACACATGCCATAGGAGTGTCTACGGGTGCCTTGGTACCAGTGAAGCCTAGTGTGGAGAAGACAGAAAAGCCAATTTTAAGCAGTGTGTGATGAAATAACCACTTTCTCACCAGCCAGAGTTAGAGGTGTGTGAATGTGTATGTGTGTGTATGCATGTGGAGGTGCATGTGTGTATGTGTGTGCATGTGTATATATGTGCATGTGTGAGTGTATGCATATGTATGTGTGCATGTGTCTGTATGTGCATACATGTGCATGTATGTCCGTGTGTGTGCATGTATGTATGTATGTGTGGTATGTGCGTGTTTGTGTGTGTCTATGTGTGTGCATGTGTATATCTGGGTGTGTGCATGTGTCTGTCTGTCTGTGCATGCATGTGCATGTGTGTA